TCAGTCGATGCAAATTTACCTCTTTCTGAACGATATGACTATAATAGCGTTTATTGCCCAACAGTTTCCCATTAACAGAGCAAAGTATACATGATTGATAAAAAATTATACCAGTTGATGTAAGACAAAAAAAGAAAAACATGAGTAAAAGAAAAAAATACATGAAATAAAAGATTGTGAACGCTTTCATACTTATTTACTATAGAGTTGCACGAGACTTATTTTTAATTTCACGTAAGTTGCAATAAAAAATATCGATACTAGAGAGCTTGTTTGCATTACGACACATATAGTTAATTGGTGTCTTCAATATCACGGTCGTTTGTGCTCTTTTGCATAAAATCAAGTATTATTATGCCTAGTTGCTAGTCTTAGAACTAGGATTTCAATTTCTGATAGTGCAAAACAGTCTATTTTGCCATTCAATAACTTATACAAAAATAAAACAGATGCCTGATTTCTTCGTTAGGACAAGAGGATTGCTCCGAATTCTTGGGGTTCTTGTTGAATACTCTTCGTGAGCAAAAAAATAGCAGAATCAATAATCCTGACCGCTCTGGATTGAATGATTCCGTACAGTCAATCTCGTCTTATGTTTGTAGATCTTTTGCTGGAAAAATCACAACTTGTTTACTTCTTAGTAAATGTTCAAGAGGTAGGAAAAATGTATGTGATTTTCTGGAACTTCAACTAGCGTTTCGTAATATGACGGATAACCAGCCCGTGCAAAGCTTATTGTCAAATCATCTGAAAATGGAACTTCAAGTATAGATGAGGCACCAGTCAATCTAATAATGACACTGATGATCTTCAAACATGACTCAACCTCTGACGGATACACCAAACTCTTACAAAAGTCTGAAGTAGATGAACATTTCAATCTAGCAGACCACTGTTATAATCTTTATACAGTCATTTTTCACTGTGGTTCTGGCGTTGAATCTGGTCATTATTACGCATTGGTCAAAGACGAAACGGACTGGTTTGAGTTTGACGATAGTCGTGTCACAAAGTGTTCTGGCGATGTTTTGAATTCATTGGAGTCTCTGGAGACACCCTATATTTTGTTTTATGAAAGAGAGGGCATTAGCAGATCAAGATCTTCAGATGGCTGCAGGTTTTTCCGGCTTTTCTGGAGCTGAAAAAGCAAATGCGCCACTGTAATCAATGAAGTCGCCCCGGAGCGCCAATTATTTTTGTTGTTTCATAATTTCATGATTTGTATTATTTTCCTCTTTATTTATTGAGCAGATAAGAGTAGTTACAAACTGAAACTGAGGAATTTCAGAAATTTCTTATGTACTCTATCAATTGCAGATGTACAATGACTGAATATGGGATTCCATATTATGGATCCATATTCTAGTTTTAGCCCTACCAAACTGAAATACAGAGAGGTTGGGGTTGATATATTATGGAAATTTTTACAATTTCCCATAAATAAAATTCAAGTGCGATAATCTGAGTTCATAATGTGATTAATGTGGTAATTGAAAGTCAAAATTGATTTCTAAATCCCGGATATTATCTGGTCCCTCTAATATGATGTAATCAATGTGGTAAGGAAATTGCAATGTATTGAATTTTCGGCTGAATGTGCTATTCAGTTATTGTCTATACACTTGAGCACAAGGCTTTACGGTTTTTCAAAAAAAGCCCTTTATTTTTCATTCAATAAACTATCGAAGTAGATATTTCTCACGTAGTGAGAGTAACGCGTTATTGTTTGAGCAAAGTTGTTCCGTCGAAAATCTATCGAAAAATACAATTTTTTAACGAGTACAATGAAAAAAGATGTCTGAGGCTAATTGCACACACACCGATTTTGGATGGTCGACTTTATACCAGCCGTCCAAATTCGAATAGTGAACCACATGTGGGAACGGGACCTTACACACATGCCAGTGATCGGCGTCGATCACCGACTCAGAATCATCAAGACGTTCTTGTTTTTAGTCAACAGTGAGCTCCCGCGGAACCCACAGAGCTTTCTCATAGTCTCATATGAAGCCAACACGTTCTTTTGATATCTTTGCAATATTCTTATAACACTTTTCAAGCCATTGCTTCACTTGAACGGTATTTTCTCCCATCAAGAAGCAGTGTAAAATTAAAACACGAAATGGTTTTTGATCCATTATTTCGAAAATAACAAAAGTAATGTCACTCTTAGCACAATAACTCACGAATTTATGAGTAGAATATCATGAAATTTCAATAAATCTCTTTTAAAGGTTAGNTAAAACTTACTGGGAATTTCAAATGATGAGGTTTGTTCTGGTTCTAACATCTGAAACTGTTTGGAATCAGAGGAAGACATGATGCATACAAGAAAAAATTTTAAACGGTTTGAAATAGTCTCGGACACTTGTTTAAACCAGAACGCATGTTGAGGAGACCATTGTGTCTCCTATCGCATATATGAAGAGATGAAGACGAGAAAATACTATTGATCATGTACATTTTATTATGGAGCGTATACTTATAGTCAGTTCAAATATTATCTAACCTCAGTCATCAATAATTCAAATCAAATAAATAAAAAGGCATCCTAGCAAATAGCTCAAACAAATTTTCTCATGAATGCGCATGAGCAATGGGAACAGTTTTTAACAGTTCAGCCCGAGAATACCTATCTCGGGTTCAGCCTCGAGAGCAAGAATGATTATGGACGGTTCAAAACAGTTTAGGATCATTTCGCAGTCGACACCAGGACTGAGGATTCAACAGTCTGAAATTATCCTTAATAAACCAGAACGCTTTATATCAACTGCGCATGATCCTGACATCCTAGTCCTAACTTTTCTCCTACCATATACGGGAGAACATCCAAACTTTCGCCTGTATGTCAATTCAAATTAACTATAGATTCCTGTCATTCACCAAATTTCTCAAAATTCATCTCAATTTATTTCGAAATTTTAATAGTTATTGGGGTCGATGGGTTTAGATTTCTATTGTTTCTTTGGAAAATCGTTTTTTGTTTTCGGAAATATAAAATATCTCTATCACGAATATCTGTTACTGATTAAAAATAATGAAAAAAAAAAAGAAATGCATACAGGGTGTTTCAAATTCGATACTCACCATTAGGATATCGGACACCATGAGATATACAAAGATGGTAGAAACAGAAATAATTTTTATTTTTTTTTGGCTTTATATTTGGAACGATTCGAAAATAAACTGCACTTCCACATTGTCACTTATTCCTTGCTAAATAATGATGTTTTCAGATTTGCTATCCCACGTTTCGTCTTCCAGCCACCATCATCAACTTTATTTTTTCTTATGAGTGCTTATGATGTATCATAAGTTATAATTCTTTTTCGAACAATTGGAGGTATCGAAAAAAATTATTCTTATCATAATAGGTTTTGACTTCGATGTTTCTAAATTTGACTTTCAATTTCACGAAAAATGGCTTTCACGAAAGAAGAAAAAAGACTTATGATACAAATTTATTACAAACATGATAGAAACAGTGTTAGGACATCGGAAATGTATTTAAACTTGTATCCCGAAAGGCGACAACCACATCGAACTATGTTCAAGTTATTAGATCAAAATCGTATCCAGTTTTGGTTTATTTGAAAAGCCAAGGAAAAAATGCAAAAACAGAATGACCCAGGAAACTAAAGAAAATTTGATAAATGAGGTATGTATGAGGTAAGTTAGACATTGTGCCCTTTTCAATAAAAATTAATAATTGGCAGATAAACATGAACCCAGNTTTCGAAAAAGAATGATAACTTATGATACATCATTGAAAAGGTAAAATATGGTCCTATTCAAAACAGGAAGAATCCAATGTAGCACCCATAAGAAAAAATAAAGTTGGTGATGGTGGCCGGAAGACGAAACGTCGGATAGCAAATCTGAAAACACTATTATATAGCAAGGAAAAAGTCATATTGTGGAAGTGCAGTTTATTTTCGAATCCTCCGAAAAATAAAGCCAGAAAAAAATAAAAACCATTTTCCGAAATGTCTGTTTTTTTTGGATATACTCGGAATTTCAGAATTTTCTCAACGGCATATTCTTAGTCCGGTAAATGCGCAACTTTGCGCCCATTTAACCATTTAGTGGTGGTGCGCGGGACGCAGTTGCAGAATAATTAATTGAAATTGCTCGAAAATCTGGAGGTCCTAAACAATTTCTTTCACAAAATTTCTTCAATTTATCGATATTTTAACAAAAAAAATCCGGAGCTCGCTATATGCCATACTTCTCCGGTGGATTTTCAGGCCCGCCATACTTTTTTGAAAATGTTTTTTTTATTTTATCTTATTTATTTCTTACGGGTTGATTTTTTTAAACAATTAATCTTGTACGAAAATCACCAGGCCATACCATTCCAACGGTACAAAATACCTGCCATACCTCCCTCAAACATGTAATTTTTCGAAATTCTAAAAACTATTTCTTTCAGTGTGGCATTAAATCGCGGTCAGTTTATGATACAGTGAAACAAAATTATATTCGCCATATCTCTAGTGTAGTACAAAAGTGGTGCCACACTTGAAAACTGGTATTTTTTTTAACCGTTTTCAAAACACGCCTATAGAAGCCGCAACATTATTTTTTCAGTATGGCCGGAAGACCATGATAATCGCACGCTGCGATGTAAAAATAAAATAAAACGATTTCTATCAGTATGGCATTTTAATTTTCGGAAAGTTCATAAAAAGTATGATTCAGGAAAATTATCCCATACATATTATGGTGAAGTCCAAAAGTGGTGCCATACCTGTAAAATTGATTTTCAGAGACCTATTTCACCTCCAATTTGTACGAGACTTGCTATCATCTTCTTGGCTCTATTCAAACTGAACGTTTTATCTTCTGGTTTGTTCTTTTATGCGGTTAGAACGCCTTAGTGCAGGCACTGCAGGTAAATTAGCCTGTATTTGGGTTACATCAGGTAAACTCTTTATCTTCCACCTTCCATTCTAGACAGTGAAAGAATCACTTCACACGCTGCAGTGTATACAATGATTCCAGTCCACCCGGTACACTGACCACCATAATTCACAAACTCCACTTCTCTTAGTACCTAGTGTTGGTCAATATGCGCTTACGTATACGAAGTACGAAGAAAATTCTCAGACCCAGACTCAGTGGCAGACTAGACGTTTGTTGAGTATCATCGGTGAACTGAAAAATGATGCAACGCACGTGGTGAACGACAAGTGAGAGTGTTATGGTGGAGTAAATGAACTGAACAGATTTTCGGATAATCTCGGAAATGTGGCTGAATGTGATATTCCCTTTCACAGGGTATTTTATTGTTGTAGCTGCCACGGTAAGAACTGTTCTTCATTGTCTGAAACGTAGTAAAGCTGTACGTTTTGATTGTATGCTTTTGACTTCTACTGAATAAACAAATAATAGTGTTAATTCATTGTGTTTGAGACGGGTAATAACCAGTTTTTATTACATTTATCGAAAGTATCTACAAATTAATGTACCTAACGTAATGACACTGATTCTTTGACTTTGATCTAACTGCAAACTCAATTTACGAATTGTAAGAACTAGTCACAACACGGTTTTGGTGGAGTTCTGATGTTTTCAAACCCACCTGTGGATATGTATGACATTATTTGAGTCACAAGGTGAAGGCAGTGCGAAACCAAAACAGGTTCTCGTTCCTGATTATTAAAATAACCATTGGTTGATTCAGGTATACGGTCCTTAAGGACTTGATGCTCGCTTTGTATCCATTCAAAAATATTTATATTTATAATGTTATCATTGTATGACACTGAGACACCATTACTAGTAACTTTCTATGCTATGTATACCTATCAACACTGAACAGAAGTTTTGACAGATCAGTTTTCATTTCGTCTACGGCCTACCTATATTGTCACCTTTACGATATTTTAATTTTTGTTGCCCAACGAATATGAGTGATGTAGAAAAATAATGAACCTCGTACTTATCCACCTTGATATGTCTGTAACTTAGGTGCGAGTTTTGTTTCTTTTTTAAGTAATACCGAGAGTAAAATTGCAATTAAGACTTCCGTGGGGTTTATACAATTTTTGATTTTTATTTATACGTAACTACTCACTTTTACGTTTAAGATCGAAAAGTTTCACTAAAAGGACATCTGAATGCTACCGTAATCCTAATTTTTAATTCATAATTCTCACATTTACGGCTTCAAATTCGTAATTTTCATACCTATTTCATTCCTAATTTTTGTCGTAATTTCAACTTCAAATGATGATCCTGGGGATATATGATTTCGGCTTTTAGTTAAGACGTTCTTCAGTGCAGGCCTCAAATCTGCACCTAGCCTACTAATGGGCTGATGACTGGAATTCTCAATCTGGCTACCAGCTGACTTTTGGTGAGAAATAATACTCTGTAAAATATGGCAATAATTAATAAATATTTCTTTGTGTTAACAAAGCTTATGAAAATGTAAATCACTGGTGAAACCGGTAGTGATATATGTTTATAGTCTTTTAGTAGGTATGGTCTTTTGGTAGGTATTATGTAGAAAAACAAATTAAATTGACGATTAAATACGTGAACCTACTCGTCCTACATTTTTTTATCTGACATTCACTATCTATTTTATAGAACACTTTGTAACTTTCAAATTTCAATAAATTATTTATTATGTACTTGATGTAATTTTTTGACAGGTTGATTTCAGAAATCCTGGAAAAATTGTTTGTGAGTTTCAAGTTATTTACTCGAAATCAAAAATACACAAAAATACTGTTCTTAAATATGTACGAAAAATTTTACTCAATTTTGGTATTGATTTTTAGGCCAATAATAACATGAATTCTCGTCACTAATTTTGGAATCACACGTTAAAGGGTGAGACCTCGTTAGTCCTTAGCTCGCACAAGTTTCTCAACTTCTGAGAGTTGTCGTTTGTATGGGGGCGACAGCTGATTAATGGAAAAACAGATTTAAACTAATTGACTTTCGGTACCTTCTGTATTAATTTTTTTTCTAAAAACAAATCAGAGATAGATTTTTTCCTGTATTTCCAAAAAAAATCATTCGAAAAGAGTTGTTTCTCATGCAACTTTATGACCGTATTCCGAGCCGTTTTATCAAGCTAAGGACTAATTTTTTTTTTTTCATTTTTAACAAATAATTTTATTTGACAACATTCAGTCGATGCAAATTTACTGCTTTCTGAACGATATGATTATAATAGCGTTTATTGCCCAACAGTTTCCCATTCACAGAGCAAAGTATACATGATTGATAAAAAATTATACCAGTTGATGTAAGACAAAAAAAGGAAAACATGAGTAAAAGAAAAAAAAATACAAGAAATAAAAGATTGTGAACGCTTCCATACTTATTCACTATAGAGTCGCACGAGACTTATTTTTAATTTCACGTAAGTTGCAATAAAAAATATCGATACTAGAGAGCTTACAGTCAATCTCGTCTTATGTTTGTAGATCTTTTGCTGGAAAAATCCTAACTTGTTTACTTCTTAGTAAATGTTCAAGAGGTAGGAAAAATGTATGTGATTTTCTGGAACTTCAACTAGCGTTTCCTAATATGACGGATAACCAGCCCGTGCAAAGCTTATTGTCAAATCATCTGAAAATGGAACTTCTAACGGGTGATGATCAACTGTATTGCCGAACATGCGCCAAACTAACTGACTGTTATAAGAAAACAAGTATAGATGAGGCACCAGTCAATCTAATAATGACACTGATGATCTTCAAACATGACTCAACCTCTGACGGATACACCAAACTCTTACGAAAGTTCGAAATAGATGAACATTTCAATCTAGCAGACCACTGTTATAATCTTCATATAGTCATTTTTCACTGTGGTTCTGGCGTTGAATCTGGGCATTATTACGCATTGGTCAAAGACGAAACGGACTGGTTTGAGTTCGACGATAGTCGTGTCACGAAGTGTTCTGGCGATGTTTTGAATTTATTGGAGCCTCTGGAGACACCCTACATATTGTTTTATGAAAGAGAGGACATTGGCAGATCAAGATCTTCAGATGGCTGCAAGTTTTTCCGGATTTTCTGGAGCTGAAAAAGCAAATGCGCCACTGGAATCAATAAAGTCACCCCGGAGCGTCAATTAATTTTTGTTGTTTCATAATTTCATATGTGTATTACTTTCTTCTTTACTTATTAAGCAGATAAGAGTAGTTACAATTTCTTGGGGGATAAGTTCCAATGATTCTGGAACTGAGGAATTTCAGAAATTTCTTATGTAGGTACTCTATCAATTGCAGATGTACAATGACTGAATATGGGATTCCATATTATGGATCCATATTCTAGTTTTAGCCCTACCAAACTGAAATACAGAGAGGTTGGGATTGATATATTATGGAAATTTTTACAGTTTTCCATAAATAAAATTTAAGTGCGATAATCTGAGTTCATAATGTGATTAATGTGGTAATTGAAAGTCAGATTGTGATCAAAATTGATTTCAAAATCCCGGATATTATCTGTTCTCTCTAATATGATGTTATCAATGTGGTAAGGAAATTGCAATGTATTGAATTTTCGGCTGAATGTGCTATTCAATTATTGTCTATACACTTGAGCACAAGGCTTTACGGTTTTTCAAAAAAAGCCCTTTATTTTTCATTCAATAAACTATCGAAGTAGATATTTCTCACGTAGTGAGAATAACGCGTTATTGTTTGAGCAAAGTTGTTCCGTCGAAAATCGTATCGAAAAATAAATTTTTTTAACGAGTACAATGAAAAAAGATGTCTGAGGCTAATTGCACACACACCGATTTTGGATGGTCGACTTTATACCAGCCGTCCAAATTCGAATAGTGAACCACATGTGGGAACGGGACCTTGCACACATGCCAGTGATCGGCGTCGATCACCGACTCAGAATCATCAAGACGTTCTTGTTTTTAGTCAACAGTGAGCTCCCGCGGAACCCACAGAGCTTTCTCATAGTCTCATATGAAGCCAACACGTTCTTTTGATATCTTTGCAATATTCTTATAACACTTTTCAAGCCATTGCTTCACTTGAACGGTATTTTCTCCCATCAAGAAGCAGTGTAAAATTAAAACACGAAATGGTTTTTGATCCATTATTTCGAAAATAACAAAAGTAATGTCACTCTTAGCACAATAACTCACGAATTTATGAGTAGAATATCATGAAATTTCAATAAATCTCTTTTAAAAGTTAGTACCTTTCAGGCGTTACCTTTCAGGCTAGTGTGGCCAGTAATCCATTCCAGAGACAGTTTGTTAAGTTTTCCTATTAAAGAGAGTGTTTTGACTGTTCAATACCAACTTGGATGTTGTTTGGTGAGAGCCTAGTACTTTCAAAGAAGCTTGGCTATCCGAGAAAATTTTATTGATTTATATGTGAAGTAAAAAATGGCGTATATTTCCGCCTGAACAGCTATCTGCTCGTAGTATGTCCTACTCTTGGAGAATCCTGTCCTCAATGGGGGCAATAAGGCGGATGTCATTCCCAAAAACTGTAGCTACACTCCTCATAAGCCTGTTTATAGCAACTGGCAATATGTCCAATTCATATTGTTCGTCTAGGCGTTCACTCCAGAAATATGTGGAGGAGTAGGTCAAGTTGGATTTTCACGACCGATGACGGTGTGGCCGCACATGGAACCGAATATAGCCAATCGACACTGTCTCTGTATACTTTTTTAGTCGTTTTCTGTAAAAAAAATCGGCCACCTAGTATTTGCTTCCATGTGATTATTGGCTGAAAATCATAACATTAATCCAATGGATATATTTGGGCCCCAGGCCTCAAGATTTTTCACAGACCAGAAAAACTGTGATAGTCCCTTTCCGACTATCACAGTTCTGTTGGGCTCACTTACATCTGCTCTCTCTGATACCAACTATAAACGTCATCCAACGTTCTTTGTAGTATATAACAGGCTACCCTTCCAGACACGACCACCAAGTAACAAGATAACACGTAGATCTGCAAAAACTTGTACAGCTACCTCCCATCAGTCTAGGGCACCAAGCAAACTGTCCGTAAAAGTGACCACAGTTGGGAAGATAGTGCCCTGTGAACTTGAATCTAATTGTCTCACCACGAAGAGTTGTAGTAGCTGTTCTGTTTATGATTATGAGCATGGCCTGGATCTAGCCAGTAAAAGTCGAATATTTGCTTCATTTAGCCAACATTGATCCAGTAGGTAGGGAATTATCAAATGCTTCTTCGATATCGAGGAAAATATCGTAATTCGAGAATTGAGTCTAGCAATGCATTTGTGCATAAGTTTCAACTAGTTGCCTTGAGGTGCAAGCTGCAGCAGGCCATTT